GAAAGAAAGAAAGAAAGAAAGAAAGAAGAAAGAAAGAAAGAAAGAAAAAGAGAAAGAGAAAGAAAGAAAGAAGAAAGAAAGAAAGAAAGAAAAGAAAAAGAAAGAAAGAAAGAAAGAGAAGAAAGAAAAGAAAGGAAGAAAGAAAGGAAGAGAAAGAGGAAAAAGAAGGAAAGAGAAAGAAAAAAGAAAGGGAAAGAAGGAAGAAAGGAAGGAAAGAAGGAAGCTAGGAAGGAATGAAGGAGGGAGGGAGAGAAGGAAGGAAGGAAGGTAAGTAAGAAGAAGGAAGGAAGAAAGGAAGAGGGAAGGAAGGAAAAAATATTTAACATTTAACATGTATATTTATACATGAATAAGTGGACTATGAATACATATAAATTCCAGGTAACTTTATGAATCTTAAATGGCATGAGTAAGGAGTTAGACCATGATGGCCAGTACTATTAGTATCATTGTTACCGGCATGAAACTGTGTGGACAGATGAGTAAAGATAAATGATAAAGCCCTCCCCTAAGTTCTCACTAAGATAGAGTAAAATAATTTATGATACTCCTGGTTTGTAATTGTACAAAAATACAAGATTATAATTACAGATGAAAGTATTATCTTAGATTACTTCCTCCTTTAGTGTAAGTTTTATAAAAATATCTGTGTGTGTTTAACCTTTTTAATGTTACATTTATGTATTTGATTTCCTGGTACTTTTTTAAATTTACAAGTTAGCTAAGTAGTTTACAAGGGAGTGTTCATTAAATATGATTTCTATTTAACTAGAAATTGAATTTATTTTGTTATTATCTGATACCATTTTTGGTTGGTATCTTTAAAGTTTCTTGAATATTTTTCAAATGTATGATTATTTCCCCAGAAAACACACTCTTCATATATATTTCACAGTACAGTAAAATGCTAAAATCCTGAAACAAACTAAACTGTCTTCTGAATATATATGATCTTGTTATACCAGAAATGCACAGTGGTATATATCTTATTTATGTTTAGTTTCAGAAAGACTATCTTTGCTTTCTTTTTTGAGGTCATTTAATTCTTTATAAATAATATAGTTATTATAAGTTTATTACAGCCTTAGAGGCAGATTTAAATGACGAAACCATGGTAGAGTATTAGTTCAGGAAAAAAAATTCCTGGAAAATTATTTAAGCATAAAAAAATTTGAATATAAATTTGGCCAAGTTGTCATCTAAATTTTGTAGAAATACAATTTTAAATAATTTGACCTAAATTTTTGAGTGTGCCTGTGTGTGTATTTTATATACATATGTGTGTGTGTGATTTTATATATATAAATGCTATATATATAAAATGACTGTATATTTCAATATTTGTTGGAGTTGGTATCGTGGAGAGAGGTTGAGCACTTTGGAGTCAGACCTGAGTTTCAGTTCTGGCCATGTTATTTAAATGCACCAAGCCCCACCTGTAATAATACAAAAGTAATACTGGTTTGCAGTAGTATCATATTAAATGATAAAGTAGTGCCTTTTACATAGTATATGCACAAGAAATGTTTTTACTGTCCCTTATTCCATAATTAATTAAAAATAAAAATTGAAGACTCAAAAAAATAGTTTGACCTAACTTTGTTTTTTAAATTAAGACCAACAGGGTAAGTTTTAATTGGCTGTGCCTTGCTTTGTTTCATTGTGAATCTGCATTCTGTGACTTGATCAATCCCTTCTGAGATTCCCCACTACAAAGTCTAATAGAAGTTTGTTATATAGCACAGCTTCTTTCCTGCTGCTAAGAAGCTTATTTAAATATAAGTGGAGTCATTTATTGATTACAAAAATGTAATAGGCAAAACGTCTTTCATATCTTCTTCGTGTGAGTGAATACAAGATGGAGGCTAATTGCTAACATGAAATGTGAAAGTGCATCCGGCACATTTTTTTTTTTTAAACAACACTTGGTTACATTCAGCTCACTTTAGGTTTTCCAGTGGTACCAGTAACCCAATAGGACACTTTTCTTGATGTGAAGTGTTATTGGAACAAAGTTGTATCTTGTACTGACACACAGTGAATTGGGTATGTATGAACTTATGTGTATAAGACATTTGGATTCCTTCGGGCAAAATACAAAAACATGAAAAGGAAAACGTTTCTATTATTTGACTGTTTTTCTCACTGGATATTAGAAATGCTTGTTTTCAGACTTAACAATGACAGCCTTTTGTTAATCATAATTGTGTTCTAGATTTGAAGGGGACATAGAGAAGTTATTTCTAAGCAACATTCATGAGTCAATCTTGAAGTTACAAAGACAAAAGTTAATAATAATTTCCTTGCTTATTAGTGTTTATGTATTTACCCATGAGGCATTTTGTTTAACTCTGTATTTTTATATAACAGTGGCTTGGGGGTTGGAGGAGAAATGGGGGTAAAGTGGCTGGATTTTACCCCAACTCAATGACTGAGGTACTTGCCTTGAAACTACGCTTACACAGCAAACAATGCTATTTTTACTTAGATTGTGTATGCGTGTGTGTGTATGTGTGTTTACAGAATAAAAATAGCCATATTTTTCTAAAAGTGTTTTTATTCCCAAGTCACATAAAGCTTTCCATTATAATTATTAATTGTTTTTATTGTGGGGAGGTGGCTTCAAGAACCATGATAGAGATTCTCAGGGGTGTGTGGCAAGGCTGCACCCTCCCCACACGCACACATATCCCACCACACTTGGTGACTGACTTCTGTTGAAGTAGCAGACCACACACAGACTGGCAGCGATAAAGCAAGACAGGACAGAGGACACACCCACAAGGCATAGCAACACCCTCTTCTCACGTTTTATGGCCTCTGCAAAGCCAACTGTGTACTGGGTCATGATCATTGCTGTATGCTAGGATAAGTATTCAACAAGACTTATCACATCTTAATTCTCACAGCAATTCTAGCAGGAAGGTAGGTATTATTGTCCTCATTTTACAGAGGAGGAGTCTGAGGCTCAGAAAATGTGTTTTACTCCTACTAGGAAGTGAAAAGGTAGGATTCAAACTTTGATCTGTTGGCTCCAAAGCCCATTCACTTCACTAATTACCGCTCTTGTCTTCCCCTGATACTGATATCACAGTAATCTGATACTACAGATTTGCAGTTGCTCAGAAAGTGAGCCAGGATCTCTGATTTTTATGATGTTGGTGAGTTGAAGGTTGTTTAAATTCCAGGTGTTATTCCCAAAATATTATTTTCAAAATGTTGACAATTTTAAAGCCAAACAGCTTTTCATGTCTGTTGATGTTGCAGCCTGGAGCCACAGAATCAATCTCTAATGAGGACAGAAGATTTGACAGGGCAGTGAAGGTTAAGGCTCCCCTCCCCTCCAGTGCAGCACCTGCTAGTATGGCAGGAAAGTAAAAACCGCGTTTAACAATTACAGGTCTGGGTAATGTGGTTTGGTCTTCATACCTTCACTCAGGTGGAGCCCGAGAAGTTGAAGACACTAACAGAAGGTTTGGAAGCCTACAGCCGTGTCCGGAAAAGGAACAGAAAGTAAGCACTTTTTAAAACTTTCACTTTATTTTTCAAGGATATAATTTACTGTTTTTCCAACAAAAGGATAATGAAATCTCACCAATTCTGTCCATGTTGTGGCCTGCCTAACTAAAGTTTAATATTTACCAACAAAGAGGACCATTATAGACAAGCCGAATTAGTGATTACAAAAAAAAATTCTCTAAACAATTTCTGTTTACACTATGTGTAATATTTGCCTCTTCTCTTTCCTCATTACCTGCATCTCTATTCCTCTCATTTAGTGGAAAATAAATAATAATATTCTTAACATATAGCAATTAAATAGGCTCTGAAAGTGTAGTGAGTCAATCCCTTTGCAATTCAAATACTTTCAGGGGTAAATACCCCTAGTCGTATACATGCAAATAATTTTGGGAGATTATTTGTCAAAGTGATGCTAAATAACGGTTTTTTTGTTGCATCAGCGTTGTGGACTTGAAAGTAAGCTTTCTTTGGAATTATAACAAGAAGTTGAATTTCAGGCCAGTATTCAAGTTTTTCTAAATCTTTGTTTTCTGAGTAAATGTAGTATGATGTAGTGCAGGCAAACAGATAATATTAGAAACACAGTTTTTACTGTGATACAATGTACATTCATATATCATATTGAGGTAGAGAACTACAAGTGTGCTTCTCTGTGTGTACCTAGACAGCTATTTTAAAATGTGTAAATTGATATACCTGTTCAGTTGCTATAATAATTTCCATGTTATCAAGCAACCAGGAATTATATATGAATTAATTTTTATTCATTTACAAAATGATCCTCACATTTCCTTCCAAATATTAACATATAGGCTTAATGTGTTTATATATTATCGTCTTTCTAAAAATACCATTTTAACTTCTTATAAGACTTATAAAGTGGAGATCAGAATGATTCATAGTGGATCTTGCATAAAAGGCTTATATAATGATATCAGTAATATCTATTAAAAAGCAATGTCTTTCCCTTTTGGTGTTTCCCATAATGCTGGCCAGAGGCATAATTTTAGAAGTTAACGAATCTTGGGAAGACTCTGCACCTCAATAAAAGGTCTCTGAAAAGATGACAGCTACAAAGGGCAAACCCCTACGTCTCTATGTCCTGGACTCCTTTGGAAGGCAGCAAATTGGTACTAATTGTGTCGAGGGCCAAGCGAATTGCCAGATAACATCCCTCTAGGCCTGATGAGGAAAACAGGGATCAAGCTCCCTTCCACTCTTACTGAGGCACACTTGCTGTGCAGAGCTTAGCAACAAAATAAAGCCACCAAAATTAATACAAGGTCTGGATAAAAGGAGGAAAATTGCAAATTACCTACATCACAAATTTGCATTGGGCCAGTTGCTGTAAAATATTCAACAGTACCCATTTCTTTGGTGTAAAAGATCCCTAAAAATGTTTCCTACAGTGCAACATGCCAGGTACTTGGATTATGTACAAACTAAAGTTAATAACAGAAATAAAATAACTCTTCCAAATATTCAAATACAGTCCAAATATTCAAACGCACTGCCTTGAAATGAGCTGGATTTTCCCCCATGTGTTTGTAATTAAGCAATTTCTGAAAGGTAATGAGTAACAAACCACAATTTAAAATTTTTTCTTCAAAGCCAATTTACTATTTGCAGTAAATTAAGGTGGGTGCTATTTAAAGGAATTCTCCTCATGATAACCATAAACTTGGAGTACAGATTGAAGAGGTAAAAGTAGAAAATACAAAGCTAACGTTTATAAAAGGAACTTTATTTACCATACTATTGTCTAAGCAGACAGATTTTCCTTTTTGATGCCCAGTAGAATGCTTTACATTTTGCACATGTAATTGCAAATTCATCATTTTATTCTCCCAGTCACAAGATGGGCCAAAATTACTGAGCCCATTTGCAGATGTGGACACTCAGACTCAAATAGTTTAAATAATTAGTTGAAAATCCCACAACTGATAAATTATATGTTGAATCAAATCATTTTTTAATTTAGGCATTTATTCTCAATTTAAGGAGACAAATTTAGCAAAAAATCTGTGCCAGGAACAGTGCTACAGTTCCTAAAGCTCATTGTTTAGTAAAAGAGACAAATGCAGAAACAAATAATTAAAATGTTAAAATTGCAATGACAGCAATATATATACTATATTTTGGGGTCATAGGGAAAGGGCAGGTAAAGGAAGGGATTCTAGAGGAGTCAATATCTGCTCCAAGCCTTAAACACTACCTAGGCATCAGCCACACAAAGGAAACAAAGACCAAGATGTGATGGTATAGTGTTTAGATGAGAGCAGCAGTTGGATTTGGGGGACAGTAAAATATCAGATGGAAAGTTGTAAGAAGTACACACAGGAACCAGATCATGAAGGGTCTAGTAAGGGCCAGTAGGATGTTTTATTGTTTTTGAAGTGCCTAAAGGGGGCAGGTGGTTGGATTTTCACCTTAGGTATAGCTGTGTAGGAGAACAATTTTTTTTTTTTTTTTTTTTTTTTTTTTTTGAGACGGAGTTTCGCTCTTGTTACGCAGCCTGGAGTGCAATGGCGCGATCTCAGCTCACCGCAACCTCCGCCTCCTGGGTTCAGGCAATTCTCCTGCCTCAGCCTCCTGAGTAGCTGGGATTATAGGCACGCGCCACCATGCCCAGCTGATTTTTTGTAGTTTTTGTAGAGGCAGGGTTTCACCATGTTGACCGGGATGGTCTCGATCTCTTGACCTTGTGATCCACCCGCCTCGGTACAGACGTGAGCCACCGCGCCCAGCCAGGAAAACAAATTTTAAGGCAACAATATTGAAGATAAAGAGATTGTTCAGGAGCCATGGCAGAATACAAGGGAGAACGAGGATCCAAACCAGGAGATGACAGAGTTGGGAATGAGGATGGAAGAGAGGAATGTGGTCAAGAAATATTTAGGAGGTAAAATAGACAGAACATGGGTGATTGGGGGTAAAATAGAACATGGGGTGATTGGAGGTAAAATAGAACATGGGGTGATTGATCAGAATTTGAAGGAATGGAAACAAAATCAATGACAGCTCTCAGGCTTTCAGCTTGGGTGACTCAGTAAGTGGTAGAAACACTGACTGAAATGGAGTTTACAGGGGGAAGCTATTGAGTACAGTTGGGGGTGCCTGCAGGATAGGCTGGACATGCATGTCTGAAACTGGGAAGAAGCAGTATTTGAGAGTGTACAAATGACTGCAGTCACACAGAGATACTTTGACAAATTTGAAGAACAGTAGGCTAAAAACTGAACATGTGAAAGAATGAAGAAGATGGGAAGAGTGGTCAGTAAGGAGGAGGAGAATGAGGGGAAGTGGATAGAGTCTCAGGAGTCAAAGACGGATAAAGTGATCAACAGAGGTCCAGGAAGAAAAGAACTGAAAATAATCACCATTAGATGGGGCAATTTGAAGGTCACTGGTAAAAAGAACTGAAAATAATCACCATTACATGGGGCAATTTGAAGGTCACTGGTAACCTCAGTGAGAACAGTTTCCAGTAGAGTGATGTACACATAAAGTGGCCATGGGTTGATGACTAAATAAGAATAAGGAAATGGAGAGAGGAGATGTAGATTATTTACCCTTCTTTCTACCCATAATGTGAAAATTTCCTAAAAAATAACAAAGAACGATTTTTTTAATTGACAAAGATTTGACTGCTTTTGTAGACTGAGGGGAAGAAGAAAAGATGAAAAGACTGAAAAAGGAAGGTGGCATTTGGAACAATATAATTAAGAGTTTGGCTTTTACCTGGACTCAAATTCTGTTTCTACCACTTCATAGCTGTGTGTTCACAATGTCCCTGAGCCTAAATTCTTCATTTCTAAAATGGGCATAATCCTACTTTAGGATTGTTGTAATACAGATAATATAGAGAGAGCCTCAGCACAGTACTTGGCACATGGTATTTAGTAAATAGCTATTTTTATTATAAAGATACAGGTGAAAGAGACAAAACTGTCTGTTATTTTTCCCAGTTGAAACATTCTACCACCATATTAGATGTTTAGAATTTTATGTAGTCATTTTAATCCTCAGTGTCCTCAAACTGTACAACAAATAAATATCTTTAAACATATGTTCTAATTATATCCTAGTAACATATTTATTTAACACATTACTTAGGGCAGTTTTGTCCTTAAAAGCAGAAATAGCTTTATTAAAGAAAAATTCCATAGCTTTTACATATGTTATGATTTTCATTTAAGTGAGGAACAAATCTTCTGTCTACATAGACATTTCTTTGGAAACCTGAATTTTTGTGAAGCTGGCAAACAATAAAGTGATTAAATAAGTCACACTTTCACTTTAAAACCAAGGAATGATACTTACCATGTTAAATTTTCTTACATCTGCATTCATTCTCCATAGATTCGGTTTCAGAGTGTAGGGTTCTTGACTTTTAGGTCTCACTCAAATTTGTTACATACTATATGAAGTGAGTCACTTAAACTCTAACCTGACAATGTAGAACAACTTGGAACTTTTCATTTCCTTTCTGTTTTTTGTACCATTCATAGATGTGTACCTGGCTTTTTAAAAAATTAGTGAAGATAAAGATAATGCGTGACAGTATAGGCAATGAAGTTGAGAAGTGGCAATTATCTCCATTAATAATTAGAAATGTGATTATATGAATATCTATTACTTAATCAAGTAGGTTTTAGAGTGTCCATTAGTAAAAATGTTTATTATTAAATGTCAGCGGGGAATAGAAAATAGCAGAAGAAACTCCACAGGGAGGCCCACTGGACTGGAAGGCTGAATTTTGACTAATTGTTCATTTCTTGAATTTGTGGAGTTTTTTTTCTTCCTCTTGTAAGTTCATTCTGACCTGACCAGTTAGAAAAAAACTGATCTCCAGATTTGACGTCTGGGAGAGTCTCTCTTTACCTCTCGAATCTCATGTTGTGTACAAATAGCTTCACGCCCCACATCTATGTATTTATTTTCTCTTCCAAAAGAAGTCATTTCTCCCTCTGTCAACTATTAAGGTATGTTAAAGGTGAAATATTATACTAATTTAGCTTGAATTAATGCAAGGTGTTTACAAATATTTGAAATATCTTGAAGAATGAGATGACAAAATTCATGAAATTGGTTTTTTCAACAAGTAATATTGAATTGTTTTTGTGCTTGAGTGGTGATTGTTATTGCAGTTCTTCATGGTTAGGTAAAAACTTTTTCCTGTGACTGTTGCTTTTGAAAACTCTAGTCAAATATCCATTTTCTTCATTACAAAATTAGAATTGATTTCTAATAATAATTGATTTCACCAATTATCCCTAAAAGTTATGAAGTATCACATAAGAAGAGTTGTCATAACACCTATTCCATCAAATTGTTGTAAAGATTAAATGAGGTAATGTATATACAGTTTTAATACAATTCTTAGCACATAGACATTTTTTAGTAAATAACAGGTTTGTTTTTGTTTTTTTTTTTACTAAAATTAAAGGTGAGAGAACCAATGTTCACTGGAGGTTTTTCATTAAAATGTTGTAACTTCATTTTAAATATTTAGAACTTTATATAGTCAATTTTAAACTCATAAGATCTTATCAAAATTTATAATAAATAAATGTCTTTTAAAACTTATGTTAATACATCAAACTTATGTTTATACAAAAGAAATAGTAGGCCGAGTGCAGTGGCTCACGCCTGTAATCCCAGCACTTTGGGAGGCCAAGGCAGATGAATCACAAGGTCAAGAGATCGAGACTTTCCTGGCCAACATGGTGAAACCCTGTCTCTACTAAAAATATAAAAATTAGCTAGGCGCAGTAGCACCTGTAGTCCTAGCTATTTGAAAGGCTGAGGCGGGAGAATTGCTTGAACCTGGGAGGTGGAGGTTGCAGTGAGCTGAAATCATGCCACCGCACTCCAGCCTGGTGACAGAGTGAGACTCCGTCTAAAAAAAAAGAAAAGAAATAGTAAGGATAAATTTATTTAACACATTACACAAAGTGTGATATTGTGGGGCAATGTGGCAGTGATAATACTGTCAGAATCCTTACCAAGCAGCCTGCAAAAGGGGCCCCAGCCCAGCCTCAGCAATCCCTAGGTGGCCTTGCAGAGGGCTCCCAGGACCTTGCTTAGCAGATACCTCATTAGGAAAACAACTGAGACTGACTCCATGAGATATCAGGGCCCCCTTGAAACTGGAATGGGTAGGTAAATGGAATACAGTAGATACATAATAAAAACACTTCTTATATACCAGTTAGAAGGAATGAGTAGATTATACAAACTAGTTGGTATTTAACAGTTATAAGGAGAAAAAAGACAAGTATGTATATCATAACACCTTTTGTGTGTGTGTATCAAAAAAAACCACATAAAACCATACTAGGTGCTGTTCATGGATAAATTATATAAAGTATAAAAGCAGACTAAAAGTTGAGATGGTAAGGTGAGGGAAAAGGGGACCAGGATGGATAACAAATGGGAATTCCAGCTTTCTTTCCTTTTTTTTTTTTTCTTTTTTAATATAAAAGACTTAAAGGAAGTATGTAATTTATTAACATTTCATTCCAGGAGAGGAATATGTTAGGTTTATTTTATCCTACGTACTTCTCTGCATTTTAAAATTTCTAAAAATAAATGACAAAAGTGTAAAAGCTAAAGACTAGCTTACACGGCCAGCAAAAGGTAGGAGAAAAGTGGTTGATGCCATATTACCTTTATAATTTGGTTAAAACTAATACACTAATTTTTCGCTTCAGTTAAACTGACCTAAGTACATATGTTTTTTTGAAACAGGACCATCTGGGCCAGCTTTGGACAAATATTTTTATTTAGCAAATACATACAGTTTCTATGGTATGTCTAGCACTATAGTACTCAGGGGTGGAAAACTCCGAGTTCTCAAAGTGTAGACAGAAACTCAGTGTATTCATTGTCCAGTCACGGTGTGTGACGATCAAACCTAGTGAAAGCTATGGTATACTGAACTAAAGTTCAAAAGTGATTCAAAACACTATGCTAACCAAACTGAATACGACAGTAAGTCAAATTCTTCCACGACTGCAAATTTCCAGTCTCCATGGTCGATGCTGAGATAGGACTTAACTCATGGAAACCCATGCTAACCACCTGTAATGAAAACGTTACCTCCAGCAGCTCTCCTAGTAATTGTCATGACAGGACGAATGAAAAGAATCACCTTAGTACTTGGGGAAAAAAAAGGTGTGTGTGGGGGTAATTATTTATTTGCATAAAGAAGGAAAAACAAGTTAACAGTCAGGATGGGCAAAGTGTACATAACCACAGAGGTGGCTGGCATGAATTTACCTGATTTTAGTTCAATAGCTTCATAGATATAAGCTTCAAAAATGGTAGATGTACCATGTGTGTAATTCAGGCCAAATATGTGTAATGGAATGCTAAGTGGAGAGAAAAGGACAGAGAAGTGATAGGCACCCTGAGGCCGTCACTCTTTCTCTGTTCAAATAGTTACATCATTTTGGTTTTTCGGAAAATGTGCTGGGGGCCAGGTTCGGGGCCTCGGGTGCGTCAGAGTTAAGGTGTATCCCACCTGGAACGTGCACCGGGATTTCAGCCTTCACTTGCTCTAGAGCCGGGACGCTGCAGAGAGGGCAGAGGGAGCTCCCTAGTGGCCAGAGCCTGCAGTTCAGCCCCGCCGCCCTTCCTCTAGTACTCACAGCCAGGCTGCCTGAGAAACAAGAAGCGCTGCAGGGCCGGCTGGAGCCAGGGAGCGTGCGCGGCGTCGCTGGGAGAGGGAACCCGTGGCCCAACTTTCTTCTCAAATCACCAGATTGTGGAAGAAGCACGTGGAAGAGAAAAAAGCCCATCTCCCCGCCCCCCAGTCTGTTAAACTTTTTTTTAGTAGTTCTGTGACTTTAATCATTAGTATTCAGTGGTCAGAATCCCAGAGTGATGTATTGTAGTGAATTTTCCAAACGCGATTATAAATTGACTTTCTCTGGTGGACCTGGTTCTTTTGTTTTCTGATTAGGAAATTACATTGAGATTTTGTTTCTTTAATTTTTTAATCTGGTGTGTTGTTTTCATTAATTCCAGAAGTGGAAAGCTAAATAACCATTTAGAAGCTGCTATTCATGAGGCCATGAGTGAACTGGACAAAATGTCGGGGACTGTAAGTTAATTTATTTTTCCATTATACTGTGTTTCTTTGAAAATAAATTGCGTTGCACTTTTTGGTAAAGTCTCTTGAATATTGCCAAACAACTCACGTAGCAATACTAAATTAATCTGGAAAAAGAAAACAAATATCAGAAAAGATTCAAAGTCGCTTAAGAAAAAATAACCTGCCGGCATTAACTATGTCTTTCTTCCTGAGATAAGTAACTTTTGTTTTGCCACATAACATTCTTTTAAAATATGAGCAGCAAAATATGAAAGTTCAAACCACAGCTTTCTGCATTTGACTCTGTGACTGGCTGTGGCCATTACTATTGCCTATATATTTAGTAATGCAAATTTCTCTCTGTCCATTGAACCAAAAAGTGAAATTAAACAGTGGGGTCCAGATCAAGAGTATATAGACCTCTCATATCCCATTTTTATTGAACTGGGCATATAGTAGCATTGATTGTGAGAAGTTTGATCGTTATCCTCCAGTTCACACATTGACTGATACAAACACTTAAAATATAATTGTGATAATCTCCAAAAAATGTAAATTATCTAAGGCTATTTAGCATGAGAAATAATTTCTTTTCCTTGACCTTATGTTACAGGGTTTTCTGAACCCCAACAAACCATCCAATGGCAATTGGATGATGGAATTAGTACGGATTTTAGAGATTTTGGAATCCAACCAACCCATCATTTCACAGATGGGTGAATTGAAGCCCTGAGACATTACATTTCCTGATAAAATTATAAGAAAGATCTAGATTGGGGATTATAAACTCAAATGTTTTCTAGGGCCAGGCAAATAATATCACTAAAGTGGGCCAGGTATGGGAAAACAGCAGTCGGGATGGATGAGAAATGCCAGTGAAGATGCATGGGTTGGGGCAAGCTACCAGTCTAGAGGCTCAGCACAGTAAAGGCCATTACCCACTTGAATCTGGTGATGTTTGAGGAAGGGGTTGCTCCAAACCAGGGCACAGATTCTTTCTGTATCTAGTGTCCACCTCTCTTAGGTCCTCAGAGTGCTCCATTATATCCTTTGCGCGTTGCCTAGAAAGCAAAAGAAGAAAGCGTGCTAGGAATATTGCCAGCATAGGTTTTATGAGCCAGGCCTAGAAGCTCGTTCTGTTAACTTTCTACTGACCTGACCTAATCACAAAGCTTTCTTAACTCAAGTGGAATAGGAAATAGAGCATAGAATGTGCCTGCCCAGGAAAAAGAAAATGAATTTGGCCATCGTCTTTTAGACTCTGCCTCAGGACATTTGGTCCTTGTGGAAATCAGGTAGTTGAGAGTAATAAGGATCAGGGCAACCTGAGCGGCATGCACTCTCTCCAGAAGGCATTTCTTCCATGCTCCAGCAGATCTTAGACGTGGGAAATTGTGTTCATGTTGCAGGTTCTTCCCATTTTTCATGTGAAACTAGAAATCTAGAGGTAAAAATTCTTATTTATATGTGTTGACACTGTTTTTAAAAATATTAAAGTGCCATATGTCTAAACAAAATACCATCTCAGGCCACATTTGGTCCACAGATTACTAGTTTGCCGTCTCAGCTATAAAAAGTTTCTTTCCTCAGTTATAAAAAGTTTTGGCTCTTTTCTACAGACTAGTGGTTTTTAAAAAATGTGTATGGAGAAGATTAGGAAGAATAGGCAGATTGAGAAACCCACAACATTATTTAAAATTTTTAAATATTATTTTTTAAAGCATTTTGCATTTGCGTCTGGATAACATCGCCCTTTGCTCTTGTCTAAACATTATTTTTAAGCATATAATTGAACCAACTTGTTGTGGATCTTGAGAGCTGATTGTACTCATCTCTGCCTAACTCTTAAGTTCTGTGACATAAGGTTGGGAGCTTGAAATTGACCAGGGTAAAAGTTTTACACCACAGAAAGTGGCAAAATGCTACAATGGACTTGTGTCCAAATGCTGATTAAGCATTTTCTACACCATTGCCTTGGGTTCATCCCTCTTCTCCTGGGTCTTGGACCTTTCTCCCTTCCACCAATAGCTACAAGACAATTTGATCACTCCCTCCTCCAAATTATACCTGCTGTCTGATGCTGCCCAGCCACTGCTCAACCTAATGAACGGCACTAAATGTTGCTAGTTCCAGTATTAGTATGTAAAGAGAGGTGAGTTGTATTAACTGCTCCTCCCAGACTGCCAACAGATGATAGATGGAATTTATCAGATCTGCCAACAGATGATGTGAAATTCTCTTTTTCATTTTGATTCTTCTCATAAACAAACATCCTTGGGCTGAGCTATGTGTGCATGTTCTTATAATTTGTGACCCTTCCTAGTCATTGTGAAATAAGTAAGGTGACAAAGTGAGAAAAAATAGAAGCATGTTTGGTGTGTAATTATCCACTCTTCCAGGCTGTAGTGAAATTGGTCATCTAGGGTCTCTGACAGGGAAGGCTTTATTTTTGTTTTAAATGGACAATGGGGGTAGCAACTGCACATTGCATTTCCCATACTTGATTTTGTCCGGTTCATCCTTTGTTTTCCACTGTCTATTGGCGCCCCCAGAGTGTTGGCACTGCTTATTAGTTTCTGGTATTCTGCATTCTCTGTAGTGACTGTGGGCACGCTGACATCTGGGGTCTTGGTAAACATTTTGAGTGCCTGAGGAGATCAGTAATTGAAAGTGAAAGCCAGAGTCTATTCTCTGCCCTGTTTCTTTGTCAGAAATTGTATGGTGTTTGTGATTTCATCCTCTGTTGTTGTTGTTTTTTTCTACCTTTTTATTTCCAGGTACACCAAATCCCACAGGGTGACAGACAAATGAGACCCCCCAAACCCAAGAGGAGGAAGATCTCCAGATAACAGAGACTACTCCACTAATGAGCAGTGTTTATTAAAGGAACATGCACAGATGTATCTGTATATAGGTATTGATATAGCCACTGTTATATCAATATTTAGATTATGGCAGATAGCTACCACCACCACAGGGTGCTAAAGAAACAGTGATAGAAAGTTTTTCTGATCAGGAAGGATAATGAATGCTGGAAAAACCAATCAAAATCTCTGTGTGATGAGAGTGATAAATGGTCAAGAGATTACTGAGAAACTCTTTTTCTATAATACTAAATTGTGATTCCAAGAAATAGTCCAAATGTTTCTGAAGAATTTTCAATGTTGTATATAGAAAATACAGAATTTCATGGTGATATCAGAAATGTAAATATTGTACAATATTGTCATGTACAAGCGTACCTAATGCACACTTTATCTTTTATTGTACAAAGAAATAGTGTACAAAATTCTTTGGTTTCTATGGAGTACACCTACCAGAGACTACCAGTGTAAAGTGATAAATAAAAATACAACCTAAATGCTTTTCTATGATAATGTAAAAGATGCTGTTTTTGTATTTAACAGCAGAGAAAAGGCATGATGATGTAATATCTGAATTATGACATACACTGCACACCACTGAGTGTCCATTTATATTGTCTGTTTGGAATGAACCTTGCCTGGAAGCACTGGACTCAATTTTGGGTGTCTAGGAAATTGCAGCCTTGCAGATTTCTAAAGGGATGAGAGCTCACAGGTCTAAATTAAGAATTCAGAAACTGCAACCATTTGTTGCATATTTTTTTTACCTAAGTTTTAAAATAGAATAGGTTTTATAAAAAAAAAATCTTAGATGGAATATTTTCCTCAGCCATTTCTGTAGTTAACATTTGATAGCCACCTGTTAAAGCAGATAGCTTATACTGACAGCACCACTGCTGGTGCTCAGAGTTGAGGGGTTTTTTTGCAAATGATATCTAACAAGATAAAACTTTCTACTTCCGTACATGGAGGCAAAAGCCCCATTTTGCAACCGTTATCAGAGGTAAGGTTGATTATAATTCATTTTTTTTGTAGTGGCGAAAATAAATATGAATCATCAAAGCAAGTTTCATATCCATTCGTCAGTATTACTTAATCCAGAAGTTAATTAAGGTGGCTTACAAAATTATTAGCAATGGCAATTTTTTATCAGTATTGTGTAACATATCAGATTTATTTTATTTAAAGAATTATTTATACCATTAACAGATTCTTATATATATTAATGTGGCTAAAATGTGCAGGTTAAATCTATTAACCAAATTATTTGTATTATATTAAGTAAGAAAAAATGTGAAACAAATGTAGAGAGAAAATACTACATTACAAGTATACAAACCTGAAACTGTGAGCCATTGTAAAGTACAAGGTAATTAATAAGAAATGTAGCACAACATAATTTTCCGTCTTCTTCTCACAATTTTTGTGGTGGTGGTATAACCCTATCTTCCAGGCAGTTAAGCAAAGTTTGGGCTTCCAGCCTGACTTCAAATGATAGATTGTCAAAAGAAGGGATCTATTATCCCTTTATTCTTGGAACCACCAGTCTCTGCCCCAAACCCTGAAGCCCCTAGAGAGCACTGCCTTGTCCTCTAGCCTAGGGCTCACGCAACAGTCTCCCACTCAGGCTGCTAGGAGGTTCTCCAGTAGCAGGCTCAGCACCTCAAACTGCCCACCACCTCTCCTACTGCTCCTTTCCCACCCAGCCCCCAAACTCCTCAGTCCTGTCATGTAGCAGAGTTCCAGTAACTCAGGAAAATGGAGACCAAGGTCATTCCTTGAGTTGGCTTCTTGGGGCCACAGCACAGAGCATGCTACCTGGGCTCACTTTTGATAGCAACAGCTCTTAGTTATTCCCCTAGGTCTCCTGTGTCTCTCTGTCCCTCTGTTCCTACTCTCACCTCTACACCCAAGCCTAGGGGAATGCAACTGGCTATCCTGGGCTTCATGACCTCAAAGTAGGAACCCTTCCTTCAGGGGTAGGTTCATTTCGTCTCTCTTGTCATGGTGGGATTGCCTGCCCGGTTCCTTCATACAGTCCCATGAAGTAATCGTTTGTGTAGTTTAGTTGACACATTTTTATAAGTTAAAAGTTGATGTGGCTAGTATATTTAAACCATTAATGTCTTTTTTTTTTTTTTTGCACCAATCTGTTTTTCTGTGTTTTTTTCCTGCACATTTGTGTTTATTCACAGACAGACATACGTGTGTGTTTGTATGCTGGGTGTGTCTGTATGTGTGTATGTGTTGATATGTAGAGTTTTTAGCCTTTGCTTTTCTGTCTTCAGGCGGAGTTTACGTTGACCAAGCCTTCTTTTTGGTATTTTGAGCTAATTCAGTTTGTGCTTCCCTCCCACTGTATACTTTACATCAGTAGAACATGTAAAGTATGTTTGTGCCCATGATCTCACTGGCTGCTATGGCTTTGATATGGGTGCTGGGTGTAATAGTTTCAGTCTACGTGGGTTTTTTTTCTTTTTCCTCTCTCTCTCTCTTACGTTATGTGGTTTTGTGTAAGCAGTTAATGTAAATATTGTTACCATTACAGGTCATGAAGTGCTGTAACATTTTTTTAAATGTTGCACCTACTTTACAATTAAAAAATTGGTCACTCACACTTCAGTTTTGCCCATAGAGCCATTTATTTCTCTTTGTATTGAAGCCAATTCATTTTTTTAAATGAAGGCTAGCCCGTCTATGTTAGCAAAATTTTTATTCCCTAAAATAAACTTTTTAAAGAAACAAATCCAAGAATGGAAACAGATGAAAAATTTTTTCTTCTTTGAAGAACATAATAGTCCCTGCTGGAAAAGGAAATCTAATTTTATTTTGTGTCCCTTAACAGGCCTAGGAAGCACAAGGAGAATAAACTAAACCTCTAAGAAGGTTTTAAAAATTATTTCAAATGAGTGAAAATTAACTGAGCAGCTTTTGTGTGATTTGTCTTGTTTGTAGCATTCAAAGCAAACCAGGGTTTTTATTTATTTAAAGGAACATTTGTACTTTTTAGTGCCATTATGAATGAAAATGCTTTAAGAATATTCATCCCTTGTGATATCATGGGCCACTTTTAGTCTTTTATTTGGACCCTGACTTTGAGTTTTTGCTATGTCTGTTGTTTAAGTAAACACAGCCTTCTTATTTGAACATAACACTCAAAATTGCAGGAGAAGAGGGCAGTTGTTTCACTTTCTGTAAGTTTTATGAAGATTCTTATATCCTATGAGGTGACTCATTTCTCATTTTAGACCATGATAGCACATTGTTGTTAACTTTGGTAATCTTCCATGCAGATTGCAGTGTTCCCTCATAAGTCACAAGCATATATGCATTAAGATTTTAAAATCTAAGATGCTTAAGATGTTGGTGGCATTGCTCTTTCTGAAAAGAAAGTCAAAACACTAGGCCTTGCTGAAAATCTGATATCTCGTTTACTTTGCCCATTTATGCCCAAATGGTATAATGCAAGACTCAAGACTTTTCAATGTAGTATATCAAATGAGTTGTGCATTGATTCATTTGGGGGACATGAACAAAAATTATCAACCAGCCAGAACTGTAATATTGAATTAGTTTATCTTTTTCTTTTATTCACTCTATCACATTTGCATTAGCCAAAGAGATAAGAACCTTAGTAATTCATATGTGTAAACAACCCAGAAATGAATATTAAATCAGTGAGCCAAAAAGCAATAAACAACTCAAGCATGGGAAATCCTGCTAACAGTGGGGAGTCTGATATAGAAAAAATATATAAAAAGCATTATCTTCAAAAATGAAAGATTAATTTGTATCTACTGTAAATATGTATTACCAGCCGTATCTGCATTTATACACACTGTGTGTGTACCTCAGTGACCTTTTATAAACCAGAAAAATGGTTGATTTAATAATTTGTTATGTAAATACAAAGTTGTCTATAAATTGGAAAATTTGATGCCAGATGGCTTCATAATATACAACTGTGTTTTGTAACATCATGCCTTCATGGATTAAGTATAAATACACTGGATTGTCTATGTAGAAGTGTAGCAGTTTACATTTCACCTGCATTTCAAGTGGATATTTTTGTCCAAATGGTTATACTAATAGGAATAGAAAACGACTTGAACATATTCAATATGAAAAACAAATATTGTTTTGATTTCACCAAAATTCCTTTCCACACCCAGGAATCTGTTCAGTTCAATGCTGAATGCTTTGATTATGAGATTTCCATAGGAGATTCTTTGATCCATGACAGGAATCTACTAGGAAAACTCTCCAACTGAATTATTCTTTTTGAGAGACAAACTACACATCTTTTGTTCTAATATCAGGCAGGGGAAGAGCCCAGCCTTTTATTGCTTTTTAACTTATTCTTGTCTTTGTTTCCATGTGTCTTAAAAAGCACCACACAGATGAGTAGGGTCTAGTTTTTGTGAGCAAAAGTGGCTACAGAGTGTCACCTCAGCCTTGGGCTATTGACTTGGGCAACCTAGGCTTCTCAGGTTTGGTACTATTGACATTTGGGGCCAGGGGATTTTTTTTTGTGGAGCCTGGCCCTTGCATCACTGGATATTTGACAGCATCCATGGCCTCTACTCACTAGATGCCAGTAGCACCTCCTCCTAAGTGTGACAATCGAAAATGACTCCAAACATTACTCCCAGGGTGAGAGGTAGAGGGGGGGTGGGGCAGGGAGGGCAAAAGGAGATTTGAAAACCACTTTGCCTTAATGGAATCAGTTAGGCCTATGTCTATGTGAAATATGGGCACATTTGCATGCAGTAATCAACAGAAACCTGATTCCTAGAAGCAGCCAACTCCATGCAAATAAGTGCTTCTCAGTCCTTGGATAAAGGAGTAAATATATTAATGCCAGATTTACTTTGAACACATTTGCTACTTTGGATCCTAAGACCCAGATGATCATGTTTTGAGAACGCTTAAGTAGTAGTTCAGTAGAGATACCTAAATACTCATGGCTCAGAGTTTGCAAGAAAACTGATAGCTCTCTTTGCGTAATACAAGGAGCTTCAGGTGATGGAAGGCTTCCAAAGATAGTGGACCTGCCTCCATTTGGCTGAAATGAGGAACTGGGTTAAGGCGAGCACATTATATATATATTTTAACAGCTTTCTACAACAGCCTAGTTCAGGTGTCAGTTGTTGTGCAATCGTTTTGTAAGTTCTGACAGAAGCAGTTCCATAGAGCTTGGTGGTATCATGGATATATTTATTCATTCAATACATTATTACTGAGTGCCAGTGTGTGTGCACACAGTCCGTGTGTAGCCGTGGGGATACAATGGCGAATGAGACAAGCTCATTCTTTGCCCTCACAGAGCTAACAAAGGAGACGGCCAAACAAACACGTAAGTACAAGAAAGGGTGATAAGGGATAGGGGAGCACATGGCAGGGCTGCTGACTTCATTTAATGGGGGTGGGGCTTGAACAGGGATCTGAGACAGATGAATAGAAAATAGGCAAAGGAAGAATGTGTGGCTTCGGGGAGGGTGGAGGAGAGCATGTTTGAGGCAAAGAGAATGGCACGTGCAAAGACTTGAAGGTCAGAAGAAGCAGGAGAGAAGAATGGCTGCAGAGTCACAGAGGGCTGGGCAAGTCTTCTCAAGATTTTGCACTTAATATGGCAATAATGGGGAATTATTGTAGGTTTTTAAGGAGGGAATGATAGGATCAGGTTTGTGTTTCAGAAATATTTATTCTGGCTGCAGCATTAAGAACAGGCAATTGGAGAGGGCATAAGATTGAAACGCACACAATACGTCTCTCTCACTTCAGTACAGCATTGCAGAAAGCATGTGCTTCCTCAACAATTCAAATAACAATTCAGACCCACCATCATTCTTCATGTTACATTTGTTGGGCAATTTCCTTCTCATTCTTGAGGTCAATGTAAATATATATATGTAAATTCATGTTGGTAGTCATGAAGAAATGCTCTCCAGTACATACACCTACTGCCAACATTATTCCTTATTTCTTCTACACAAATGGGAAAGCAACAGTGTTCCTACTTTGGTGATTAAAGGTCGGAAATCGTTTGAAATCCTGGGGCATTTTGCTAACATGGTATAGGAAGGAAGGCCCGCCAAGCAAAGCACACAGGTAAGTCCAGGTCAGGTATGGGCCTTTGGTGTCCTCCATGCCTCCCCCAGGACATGGGAAGCTGCAATGAAGCACTCAGGATGCCAGAGGTACCAGGTGAGCCCTGAGGATTATGAAAGCATAGGAAATCAGGACCACAGGCGGTCAGCGCCCAGAACAGGGCCATCTGGCTACCGGGATCTCTGCCCCACAGCAGGGGAGACCACACGGCCTTTCATCATCCACCCCAGCCTGTGATTACGCACATGCTCTTCAGAGTATCCCCAGCCGCCCTTAGTGGCCTCCTACACTTAATAAACAGTGAATTTGAGGGCTTTTTAAGGTTAATTACGTATTTTTTAAAAACAAACAGAGGCAAAGCAATAACAGACACCCAATCCTATGATTCTGAGGCCAGCCAATAGCCCCTTCCTCTAGCACAGGGCGCTGTACTCAGGAAATGAACCCTCAACAGGGGCAGCCCATTGGAACAGTTACAGACTGGGCCCTGAAGGCCCAATCTAGATACATTCAAAGCTAGACTGTGCCACTAGCTAGTTGTTTGACTTTGGGCAAGTTACTTAATCTATCTGCCCTTAGCTTTTGACAAAAGGGGGATGATAATAGCACTTCCCTCATGGGATTGATTAAGGATTGAATGAGATAATGGAGATAAAGCTCTTCATGCCTGGCACATAGCAGGTACTCAGGGACCATTTATTATTAAACTGCAGTATGAAAGTTTCAGGTTAGCAAAGGGGAAAGGTGTCAAACATAAGGAGAACATCTGTCTAGAGTGGCTGTATCCTCCTGGGACACCTTTTTTTTTTTTTTTAAGACAGGGTCTCACTCTGTCACCCAGACTAGAGTGCAGTGGCACATTATCAGCTCACTGCAACCTCTGCCTCCCAGTCTCAAGCAATTCTCCTGCCTCAACCTCCCAAGTAGCTGGGATTATAGGGGTGGGCCACCATGCCAGGCTGTTTTTTTTTTTTTTAGTCTCGCTCTGTCTCCCTGGCTGGAGAGCAGTGGCACCATCTCAGCTCACTGCAACCTCTGCCTCCTGGGCTCAAGCAATTCTCCTGCCTCAGCCTGCCAAGTAGCTGGGATTACAGGCATGTGCCACCATGCTGGATAATTTTTGTATTTTTAGTAGAGACGGGGTTTCACTATGCTGTCCAAGCTGGTCTCCAACTCTTGACCTCGTGATCTGCTCACCTTAGCCTCCCAAAGTGCTGGGATTATAGGCGTGAGTCACCGCGCCTGGCCTAATTTTTGTATTTTTAGTAGAGACAGGGTTTTGCCATATTGGCTAGGCTGGTCTCGAACTCTGGAACTCAAACGATCCACCCACCTTAGCCTCCCAAAGTGCTGGGATTACAGACATGAGCCACCGCATCCAGGCTTCCTGGGATACCATTACAGGTAGGAGAGTGGTTTACTTGTCTAAGAAAGCTCTGCTGAAAAAGAACAGCATTGTAACAGCCTTTTTTGGTTCTTCCCTTAGAACCCAGCGTTTTGGGATCTACTATTGAGGATGTTTCCTAGATGAATTCCACTGTCCATGATGCCACACACCGAAATGGATCAGGGCAGAGTCAGAATCAGTATAATTCAAGAACTTCTAACCTTCAGCCTGAGTGAAGCTGGAACTAGCTCTATAAATAAATAGCGCAGGACTTGAAAAGTGTAAACAACCTAAAATCAGTCAAATCAGGGAATGCAGAGTTCAGTACAGGGAAAAGTATATTTTTAACCTGAGAGACTGAAATCTGGGGGCTGAGATCTTGCCACTGACTGGCTCTGTGATCTGTGATTCGGGACAAATTGCTAAAAACATCCTGGAGCCAGACTCCCATGGAGTGGATCCAGTTATTTCAGTAGCTGTGTGACCAGGCAAATTCCCCTCTCAGTGCTTTAGTTTTACTAACCTGAAAAATGGGGATGATAATAGAACCTACCTCATAAAATTATGTGAGGATTGCATAAATGGATATAGATGAAACACTTAGAGTGTCAGGCATATAGTAAGTGCTATGTAAGTTAGGTTATTGCTGCTGTTATTACTGTTAATATTAGAGGCTGAGCCTCCCTCAGTTTATGGGAGTGACACAGCCCTCATGGATCTTAGAGAACCAGCCTTCCATGCGGTGGTCACGTAAGAGGGTCCTGCTGTTCACATTTAACCATGTAGTTCTCTTCTTTAATTTAAACAGGGATACTCTTGAGAGGAGTAAGATTTTGAACCAATCAAGAGTCTGGAATTTCCCAGAAGATTTGAGGGTAGGAGGGTGGGTGGAAGGAGGTGTTCATGATATCCTAGGATTCACTGTACTCAAAAGGCTACCATGAAAATGAAAAGAAATAATACATGGAAGAATGCTTTTAAAAGGGAAGGAGAAAGAATTAATATTCTAAGTGGTAGTATTTTTAAGGGCTATTAGGATTATTATTCGTTTCTTAATTGGAAGTTCATGTCTAAATTCTGTACCTAGACTTTTCCAGTCTGAAGACTTAAGCATATCTTGCTAAATGAGGGATGCAGAATGTGTTCAGCACCAGTAGAGGGGTAGGTTTGGCTGCACACTTAGCTCCCAGGGCAGAGCCTCTCTGGGGTTTCATGTCCTTCCAGCTCCCACTGCAGAACACTGTGTATGAGGAACACAGCCAAGAGGACTGGTGGCCTAAGGCTTTGGTCCCTGAACTGTGACCAGGTTCCCCCAGAACATAGCTTTCCCTACCAAGTTAATCTTAAATAGCTTTGGTGGTCAGGGAAATAACCTTACGAAAAATCTCCTGTGACCTTTTACACTGTCTCCCTTTTCCGATCAAATCGGGATTGTTTACAATCAGTGGATTCCTTTGAATTTCTAAATAAGCATG